CCATTACATAGAACTAATAGCAGCCAAAATATTCTGATTCGCTACAGCAAAGCATCCGACCGTGGTTAAAGAGGAATCATTCGCTGTCTTCCGATTTGGGGCTTATTTCCTTATCGTAAGACATCGTTTTGGAGTCTTTTGGTGTATGTTCTCAGCAATGCTTTTGAGGCTTATGCAAAGAAATCACAATATATATGACGCAAACTAAAGAAATAGAATAGCGAAAGCCCAATGGATGCTAAAGAAATGAGCCAACAATTTTAAGCAGGCCTCGAGTTCATGCTCGTAACTCGATCAGGATGAAAGGCGAAGTTTACATAAGTCTGATAGTCGAGATGCTTTCCCAGGTTCATCCTGTTCTCAACCTCTGCAAAAATTCTCCAAGTGTCCTGAATATATATTCATATTTTCATACGACTAACCTAACTACTCTAGGCTCTCCTTGAATATTTGTTGTCCATGAGCATTTTCGTTGTATGCAAAAACTAAGTCGGCTTAACTCTTCGCTACGGCCTAACGATACACTTCATAAAAGTGTGCACACATGCGCACATATGCATAAGCTTAGTATGCCTATATTTCAGAGTTACAACCTTATTGGCGTTAAGACACACTTGCTTTTGTGCTGCCAGTGATTTCCGTCAAATTCTTAATTATCTCCTAACTTAGAACAAATTATTTGTCTTAAACTTCTATACGTCATGTGATTCACAACTTTGCAATAATGAGGTCATGCTGTAATATTAGGCATACAGCTTATTTCTCTAAAAAAACCCACATGATTTCTATATTTGTCATGGAAATTCTTTGAACGCTAATAAGAAAGTTTGTAGCTTTGACTCTATTTTATGGATATCTTAAAAAATACTAATTAGATTCATGGCTATCGCTTATGGTATAATACTTAGTTATTCTATGCTTATATTAATAGCTAGGCTTGTCTAAAAAGGAGGATTCAACACTTACCGATTAGAATCTCAGTTACTGATACATCCTTTTCTCATTGGAAACTGATTTTGCTGTTGAAATACTCTACCTCAGGTATCCTTAGTACGCGCTCTCGTTGAAGGTAGACCTAGCAACTCTAAGAATATTCGAAATAAGAATTTTTGGATTCCAGAGAAAAATATGCCATCAGAATATATCCAGCTAAAGCATAATTATGCTTCTAGGACGGTATCACTTTAAGTCCCAATAGAGTGGAGAGTATATAGAAAAAAAGTGTTTACGAGTAAAAGGGGCATTAGTTTTTAGTTTTTACGATTATATTCATATTCATTTGTCCCATATTCAGGAATAATTCTTTTTATGATATGCGATTCTAATTTTATGATTAAGTTTATTAATTTGATCTCCGTTCCTTCAATTTTTATATTCAAGTCAATAAGGATTGCCTCCACATATCTCCTGCTGCTAGTCTGGAGAGGAAAAGAACACTTCTTTCTTCAATCGCCTCAGAAGTCTCCATTGAAGACCAATTAGCCGAAATTTTAATCCCACCGACGTGCTTGGATTTACAGAGCACAGATCCTGATCCTATCGACCTACATCTGCCCGGCTATTTTGTTAAAGCTGTCTCCAGTAGCTACAATTCGCTACCAGTTCATCCTTCACTACTCCAGAACGCTCGGCCAACGAAAGCAAACTACTCATCAGCGGCCACCTCAATTCCTCAGAATCTCTCAGTAGCAAGTTGGCATGCTGGAACTAAAGTTAGTTCATTTTGTAGACAAAACTCGGGTAAAGCTCGTTTTTATACTTTCTTAATGATGGCTTCATTCTCCTCCTCCTCTTGTAAATTAATGAAAGATGGCGTCATTAATGCGAAGTACCAGTAATCTAATCTGGAAGTGGGCCTCATCCTCTCTAATATATACATTTGTTGACCAGCCTCCAAAGGCGTTGGCCATTGCCTTCATCTACCAATCCAATGGGATTTATTTGCAGCTTCTACATGTTATTTCATTTTTATGACGAGAATGATCTTGTGCTTCTCCATGAACAAGAAAAGCTAGAGCTTCTTGGATCCAGTGGAGTGAATGCGTCCTTTGGTTATTACGACATGAATTTTCATTTCGAAGCAAAAGTTGTTTGG